CAGAGCCCCCACCCCATCCCACGCACCCACCTTCCACCCACTGCTTCTCTTTCCTCTACAGACCGTCAGGGACACCACCCCACAACCGTCTGAAAGACCTCGCCCGCAAGGCTAAACCAAAGGGGCGCGTCGCCTCTCCGAACGTTGAATGTTACAACGCTGCTGAAGTAAGTTTGCTAGAGGTCAGACATACTGTCAACTTCTTCAACGGATGCCGGATGGTGTGCGAGCACCATGCCGTCTTTGGGGGGTCAATGCTTCTAGTTGACGCAAGGCCATCATGGGCGTCGTGTGGTCTCTTCTGGGCATGCACAGAGTGTTGCCACACCATAGAGTTTTGGACATGCACAAGGCGGGAGGAGGAAGGGGCCACGATCGCCGACACAGCTGTCCCGGCACCTGGGGGCGTTTGCACTGGATGGGATGGGGAACCAAGAAATGTGGGAATTCAGTCATACATTCAAACTCCCATGTCCAGGCAAGTCAACGTTCTACCGGCACCTGGGGGGCGAGAAGGGGTTGTGGAAAACCATCATTCGAGAGGCGGAGGCATCAATGCTGGATGTTAGGAAATGTATTTTAGAAAGAAACCCTGATGGTGCTGAGCACGTATGCGTGGACAGACGGTGGTCCCAGGTGCGAGAGGGAGAGTGGTGCACTGTCTCATGGATTGATGAACACACGAGAAATATCTTGTTTGTCCAGACTACGCAGAAGGGTGTTGACGATCCGTCGTCGGTGAAGCTCGAACGCCACGCATTTGACCAGGGCATGGAACGGATGGAGGAAGAGGGATTTCCTATCGGGGGTATAATATCGGATCAAGGGTGTACGTTTAGGGGGGCTGCTAAAGAGCGGGAGATGAATCACCTAGTAGACTGATGGCATGTGATGCAGTCTATGAAGAAAGGGTTCTTAAAAGATTTGCAGGACCGCTTGCGGCCAGTCGTCCCCGTTTGTGTGGCGCAGCGAATCGAGGATTTATGGAATGCGAGTGTAGAGAACTTGCGGGCCTGGTTGGTAAAGAAGGGTAGAGTAATTGAAGCAAAAGCATCGCTCAAGGAGACGCTCGTACAGCAGGTTTGCAAGGCGATGGACCAATTCCCATACATTCAAATGATGCAGGACGATGCAAAATGCATGTTTCCCGAGTTACTCAAGGTGATGCGGGTTGGAGGGGACACAGCGTGTGTGGGTGTCCCGCTTTCCTATGGTGGGGTTCCGATTGGAAGCGATGACAGGCCCAGTTTTGAGGAGGATGCGATTAACACGAGGGGTGCGGTGGGATATGGGGGGACGGGGGGGGCGCAGAACGGTGGGGGTACGATGCACACGACAAGTTTGGGATTCGGCCATCTTCCATGGCATCGATGATCATGGTGCAAGCGCACATGGGGGATGCAGGGTGCGATCACTTCATCGGTGGAGCGATGCCGTGGCAGGAGATTCCTGCGCCCGCAGGTGAGGCACTCTTGCTGTGAGGTAGCAAGTTTGAATCATCCAACACTGACTGAAATCTCTGTGTGTTGGTAGCAATGACCCCTGCGTCAACTATTGCAGGCCAAGACACATGTCGACATGCCCAGACCGATGCAGGGACCACGGGAAGTGTGGCACTGGAGGTCGTCCACGCGGGCCCCCTACCCCTATGGGCCAAGCGCTCAAAACGGAAAAGGGGGTCGACGTCGGTAGAGGGGGCTGGTTGTAATAGGGAGGAGGAGGTGACGGTTGTACAGCGTATGCTAATCCACTTCTATCACGTCATGATGCGATGCGGCGTCTGCAAGCGCGATGGCCATCCCATAACGGCGGCGGCCGTGTCGGAGGAGATTTGCATGTCTGCTGACCATTGGGCGGGGGATCATTCACGGTGTGCACGGGGTGGGATCACCCCCCCACACATTGCGTGTCTGAGCACTGGGGTAAGGAGAATGTCATATACGCGGACGGATCGGAGACGCACCAAGCTGTGAAAAATTGGCTCACAAAGCACTATGGGGTGGAGGAGGTAAAGATGTTCATCCACGGTGCATGCAGTTCGCTGAACGAGTCGTTTCACTCCCTTATTTGCAAGTATGCACCGAAACGCTTAAGGCTGCGAGGTAGCTTCCGTGCGAGGACCGCTCTGGCCGTTCTCCATTGGAACAACAGCATGGACCGTCTGGTGACAGCCTACGTGACCCGAGTGGTCCGTGTTACACAGATTCAACGCGGGAAGCACACTAGGGTATTGGGAAAAATGGATTGGGGCTGGGTTGACTGTATTATGGGGGAGTGGCAACAGGATACGCCCAACGCTGTGGAGCGGGAGTGTACCACGGACTTGGGATGCGATGCGATGCGGCGCACCCGCACGCGGCGAGATACAGTGTCCCTTGCATCTCCAGACATTGTTGTCACTCCGCTCAGGACACCCCAGCACCTGAGCTAATGCCCTCCTTCGCCTCGCCGTGTCACACCTTCAAGCGTTGCTCGGCAAATACTTGGTGAGACTTACACCCGTTCCCTCATTGCATGTTTCATGGTGACCCCCTTTATTGCACCTGCCCGTGGTCCCTTTGCAACGCCAAAATGTCCAATCCGTCCCGCTGGTGTGTACCCCATAGGACGACCGTGTGTTCCCAAACCCCCTTTTATGCTTTGCCTCCCACATGCCCGTTCCCACGCATGCAGCTGATGGCACCAACTTGCTGCGGTAAGCGTCCGGCGGGCTGTGTGGAGACTCGCACCCTCAGGCTACTCTTCAAGCCTCCGAGGACCGCGCCTGGCCACGCGCCCCTATAAGCAGCAGCACTGCTAGCCTGACAAGTAAACAAATCCATACCTAGCTCACTCCGCTCGGCAGATACTTGCTGTTTAGTGTGGCCAATTGGTGTGGCTGTGAGTTGTGGGGGATAGGTGTGCCATGTGTGCGTGATAAGGGGTGGCTGATTGTGGTTGCCGATTGTGGTTGCCGATTGGTGTGGCTAATAGGTAGAGCATTAGGGTGTGCAAGGCAGGTGGGGCTGACAGGTCTGGCGGTTTGGAAACCCCAATAGGTGTGGCTGTTCGGCATGGCTGAGAGGCGCGGCAATTTGGCATGGCTGAGAGGAGTGGCTGCTTGGCATGCCTGATATGTGTGGCTGTTCAACATGCCTCATAGGTGTGGCTGTTTGGTGCGCCTGACATGTGCAGCGCATTTTCTCTGCATGGCATGCCTGACATGTGCAGCTACTTGGCATGCCTGACATATGCAGCTGCTTGGCATGCTTAACATGTGCAGCTGCATGGCATGCCTGACATATTCAGCTGCTTGGCATGCCTGACATATGCAACTGCTTGGCATGCCTGACATATGCAACTGCTTGGCATGCATGACATTTGCATCTGCATGGCATGCCTGACATGTGCAGCTACTTGGCATGCCTGACATGTGGAGCTGCTTGGCATGCCTGACATGTGCCGCTACAGCGTATGCCTGACATGTGCAGCTATTTGGCATGCCTGAAATATGCAACTGCTTGGCATGCCTGACATGTGCAACTACTTGGCATGCCTGAAACATGCAACTCCTTGGCATGCCTGACATGTGCAGCTAATTGGCATGCCTGACATATGCAACTGCTTTGCACGCCTGACATGTGCAGCTACTTGGCATGCCTGAAATATGCAACTGCTTGGCATGCCTAACATGTGCAACTACTTGGCATGCCTGAAATATGCAACTCCTTGGCATGCCTGACATGTGCAGCTACTTGGCATGCCTGACATGTGCAGCTGCTTGGCATGCCTGACATCTGCAGCTACTTGGCATGCCTGACATGTGCAGCTGCTTGGCATGCCTGACATGTGCTGCTACAGCGTATGCTTGACATGTGCAGCTACTTGGCATGCGTGAAATATGCACTTGCTTGGCATGCCTGACATGTGCAGCTACTTGGCATGCCTGACATGTGCAGCTACTTGGCATGCCTGACATGTGCAGCTGCTTGGCATGCCTGACATGTGCCGCTACAGCGTATGCTTGACATGCGCAGCTACTTGGCATGCGTGAAATATGCACTTGCTTGGCATGCCTGACATGTGCAGCTACTTGGCATGCCTGAAATATGCAACTGCTTTGCATGCCTGACATGTGCAGCTACTTGGCATGCGTGAAATATGCAACTGCTTGGCATGCCTGACATATGCAACTGCTTGGCATGCCTGATGTGTGCAGCTACTTGGCATGCCTGAAATATGCAACTGCTTGTCAAGCCTGACATGTGCAGCTACTTGGCATGCCTGAAATATGCAACTGCTTCGCATGCCTGACGTGTGCATCTGCATGGCATGCCTGACATGGGCAGCTGCTTGGCATGCCTGACATGGGCAGCTGCTTGGCATGCCTGATAGGCGTGGCGGTTTGGCATGGCAGTGCGGTCCCACAGCTTGGCATGCCTGATAGCTACGGCTGTTTGGCATGCCTGACATATGCAACGGTTTTTGGCATGCTTGATAGGTGTTGCCTTTCGCTGACGGAGGGGGTGTGCTTGTCGGCGAGGCTGCTCCCCGCAGCTCAGGGGGTGCAACCGATTTGTGGGGCTGGTGGGTGTGGCCTCCTTGTTTACATTGGAAGGTGTCGCTGATGGGTGTGCGGGCTGGGTTCCCCCAGACTCTCAGACACGCCCTAATGTTTTGCAGATTCCTTCCACCCTCCCGCCCAACCATGTTTCATGGTGCAATTGCACAGGTCGGTGTGGCGCTACGACCGCTTACCCCTTTTCCCCCATGCGCATCCGCGTGGTGATTGTGTCCCACGCATCTCTGCTCGTGACAGTTATGTATTTGTAACCTATTTATTGTATGGTAACCGACCTCCCTACACACCCTTGGGCACCGGCCCTGATGCTGGTTATTCTCCTGAAGTCCCTTGCATTCCGAGTACTCATTTGTGTATGAAGATGTTGAACCGAGCAAGTAGCACGCAAAGACTATACAACAAAGCATGTCTTCTTGAAATCTCACAACACCACATGCACAGAAAAACAATGGATGCACCGGTACCTAAGACCGAGGACCACAGTAGCAGACATGCCATTGAAATAAAATCATATTTTCTCTCACAGCGCCACCACAACGCCACACTGGCCAACAAAAGTAGTGCATGTCGTCACCATCCCCTGACCAGAAAGTAGTGTGTAGATAACTAGAGGCATTTGCACATGCCGCCATGGAGATGGGTCCCCCACAGCCCATCTCATATCGGCAGTGATGTTCCCCCTGAAACCGTCTAATCTGATACGGCAGGGAGTGTGTACAGATAAGGGAAGAGGGTGGGGAGGGGAGGGGGAGGGGTGGGGATCTGGAAGGGAAAGGAGGGCAGGGGGAAGGGGGTGTGGGGGGAGAAGCGGATGGTGAGAATGAGAAGGGGAGATGTGAGCACAATGAGAGGGGGAGCAGAGGGCAATGAGAGGCAGAGGAGGATAGGGGGAAAGGGAGAGGAGGATAGGGGGAAGGGGAGAGGAGGACAGGGGGAAAGGGAGAGGAGGAGAGGGGGTAAGAGAGGGGAGGACAGGGTGAAAGGGAGAGGCGGATAGGGGGAAAGGGACAGAAGGCTTGGGGGAAAGGGAGAGGAGGATAGGGGGAAAGGGAGAGGAGGACAGGGGGAAAGGGGGAGGAGGATAGGGGGAAAGGAAGAGGAGCGTAGGGGGGAAGGGAGAGGAGGATGGGGGGAAGGGACAGGAGTATAGGGGGAAAGGGAGAGGAGTATAGGGGGAAAGGGAGAGGAGGACAGGGGGAAAGGGAGAGGAGGATAGAGGGAAAGGGAGAGGAGGACAGGAGAAAGGGAGAGGAGGATAGGGGGAAAGGGAGAGGAGGACAGGGGGAAAGGGAGAGGAGGATAGGGGGAAAGGGAGAGGAGGAGAGGGGGAAAGGGAGAGGAGGAGAGGGGGAAAGGGAGAGGAGGACAGGGGGAAAGGGGGAGGAGGATAGGGGGAAAGGGAGAGGAGGGTAGGGGGAAAGGGAGAGGAGGAGAGGGGGAAAGGGAGAGGAGGATAGGGGGAAAGGAAGAGGAGCGTAGGGTGAAAGGGAGAGGAGGACAGGGGGAAAGGGAGAGGAGTATAGGGGGAAAGGGAGAGGAGTATAGGGGGAAAGGGAGAGGAGTATAGGGGGAAAGGGAGAGGAGGACAGGGGGAAAGGGAGAGGGGGATAGGGGGAAAGGGAGAGGAGGATAGGGGGAAAGGGAGAGGAGGATAGGGGGAAAGGGAGAGGAGGACAGGGGGAAAGCAAGAGGAGGACAGGGGGAAAGGGAGACGAGGACAGGGGGAAAGGGAGAGCAGGATAGGGGGAAAGGGAGTGGAGGACAGGGGGAAAGGGAGAGGAGGACAGGGGGAAAGGGAGAGGAGGATTGGGGGAAAGGTAAAGGAGGGTAGGGGGAAAGGGAGAGGAGGATGGGGGAAAGGGAGAGGAGGAGAGGGGGAAAGGGAGAGGAGTATAGGGGGAAAGGGAGAGGAGGACAGGGGGAAAGGGAGAGGAGGACAGGGGGAAAGGGAGAGCAGGATAGGGGGAAAGGGAGAGGAGGACAGGGGGAAAGGGAGAGGAGGACAGGGGGAAAGGGAGGGGAGGACAAGGGGAAAGGGAGAGCAGGATAGGGGGAAATGGAGAGGAGGACAGGTGGAAAGGGAGAGGAGGATAGGGGGAAAGGGAGAGGAGGATAGGGGGAAAGGGAGAGGAGGACAGGGGGAAAGGGAGTGGAGGACAGGGGGAAAGGGAGAGCAGGATAGGGGGAAAGGGAGAGGAGGACAGGGGGAAAGGGAGAGGAGGACAGGGGGAAAGGGAGAGGAGGATAGGGGGAAAGGGAGAGGACAGGGGGAAAGGGAGAGGAGGACAGGGGGAAAGGGAGAGGAGGATAGGGGGAAAGGGAGAGCAGGATAGGGGGAAAGGGAGAGGAGGACAGGGGGAAAGGTAGAGGAGGATAGGGGGAAAGGGAGAGGAGGATAGGGGGAAAGGGAGAGGAGGACAGTGGGAAAGGGAGAGGAGGACAGGGGGAAAGGGAGAGCAGGATAGGGGGAAAAGGAGAGGAGGACAGGGGGAAAGGGAGAGGAGGATAGGGGGAAAGGGAGAGGAGGACAGGGGGAAAGGGAGAGGAGGATAGGGGGAAAGGGAGAGTAGGACAGGGGGAAAGGGAGAGGAGGAACTGAGGGGAATGACGTGGAACCGAGGGGCATGAGAGGGGGGAACTGAGGGAAAGGCGGAGAGGAGGAGGGGAAAACGCGTGTGGGCAGTGTGGGAAATGGGGAGGATGTGTGGCGGATACATAGACGAGGAGAGCGTGATACGGAGGGGCGGAGAGGAGGAGAGTGGGATACGGGGAGGTGGGGAGGGGGTACCTGACAGCAGGAGCAGGGGAAACAGAGAAGGTTAGAGCGGGGTAAGGAGAGATCGCTCTTAGTTCCCTCAATGTCCCCGCTGCAGCAAGGGATTGAGGGATTGCATATCCCTTGCTGCCCCCGCGCCTGGCCCTTGCATTCCCTTGCATCGTACCCCTTGCCTTCCCCGTACATATCCCCCACTCCCTCCCTCATGACCCTTGTATTCCTCAACGCTCTCCTTCCCTGCATTGCCATCGCCTGTTCCCGCATGTCCCCCCGCCTTGGCCGGTATTTCCCCTCCGTGTATGCTCTGCTTGCCATCCCTTGCTCCCCACCGTGCCTATCCCTCCATGCGCCTGTGCCTCATCGTATCCCTGCGCCGAACCATCCAGCGGTGCTCCCTTGCGTTCCCTGGACCAGTTGCTTGCAGTTTCCCCTCGTGTGTCCCTAGCTCTCCGCGGCATAGCCTTGTTTTCTTCGCGTCAAATCCTTGCTTTTCCCCTCTGCGTATCTCTCGCCTAGACATCGCCTATCCTGTCGCTTCGCAACGAGGGGAAAAGAAAGCGCGACGAGGGGGAGGGAGAAGCGCGACGAGGAGGAGGGAGAAGCGCAACGGAAGAGAAAGTGTCGCCCTGGGAAGAGTACATCGAAGGGTTGGAGTGTGCGCTTTCGGAAGAGTGGCAGGCGACGCGAGACAGAATAGGCGGGACAGGAGAGGGAAGAATCGACGAGAGAGTAAGTTGCCTTTTCCGAAGTGCGGGGGATCTTTTCCTGCCTTGTCGCGCCATGGACTTCAGTATCTGTATCTTGATTCTCATCGGGGTGTGGCTTGGTGGAGGCACTTCGTTGTGCGACATCGCACGCGTTGGTGGGCTGTTAGGTGGCCAATCCACACCCGTCGTTTTTTGTTTTCAACCAGTCGCCCAATTATGGGGTAACCCTGTTGGCGTGGGTTGGGTTGGCGACGGATCAAAAATCAAAGACTTTTGAGTCTTGGTTTACTTGGGTCGCGCGCTTTAACATCCTGTAGGTGAACGGAGCTCTGTCCCGAACAAAACTCAATCCTGGAATCTGTGTGATCTCTGCTCCGAACAAGACCCAAGCCTGGAATCTGAGTGTACAGGTCATATTCCCTGAGAGCCCCGGGGCGCGACGCGAGAGATTTCCCTTTTACCGAATACTGGCCGTACGGTAGGGGCAACGTGGACTATGGGGTTTTCCCAAGAAATGGGGCGTTGTTTTTGTGTACTGTGCATGGGCGGCTTGACTGGCATATGCATCGACTGAGTAAACATCGCCACGTCGCGAGCCTCTCCATCTGTGTATCAACTCCGCGTTTCAAGCAGGTCTCTCGATAACCTAGGGGTCACCCTGCAACTCTTGACAATGACAGGGGAGCCATTTTTTCTAGGGGTGCGAGCTTCTACATTAGATTTTTCAGGGTGAGTCCATCCCCTACTCAAAAATCGGCCGTGGGATGATTTTGGCTTCCCTGTCAATTGACGGGTATCGATATTCTGAATGCGTCAAAAACAGGGCTAGGTTGAAAGTTTACCCTGTTTTCCTTGACAAAGCAGTGTAATTACCCCGACTTCCAGAGGCCAGGTTTCAAGAGAATGTCAGATTCCTTGGCGCGCTCCTTGGCGCATTCCTACTGGCTGTGGATAGACGATTTTCCTGGGGCAACGCCGACGGATTCCGTTGGCGTTGCAGGCGTAATTCTACTGGACCGTCAGCGAGCTGGTGGATTTCTGCCTCAACATTGGTTGGCGAGCCTGACACATCTGGATTTTTTAAGGCTCGCCAACCAGTAGGAGTGGTCGCTCTAAAAACACAAGAGCAAACTGATTGGACGGCCTTGGATCAGCCGAATTGACTGTCTAATTTACTGTTGACTTGAGACGGGTACACTTTGCGTACAAGGAGAGGCCCTTAAGGATAAAATGCCTATGGGGTACTCCTGGGCGTAAAAGGAAGTCGTCTACAAGGCATATGACCTATACATTAGAAGAAGGGAAGGTGCATGCCACTCGCCCTTCCCTGTGGCAACCTCACAAAATGCTAAGATGACTACAGTGAATTGTGTGAATATGCGTTACACTAAAATGCTGCTTCCTTCTATTTCCTCTCCCACACCCAGGGCTTCATAAGTCAGGACAAAATGCCCTGAAATGCTGTATATCAGGGTGTTTTTTTAGGGGCGTCCTATTTTTTCAGCTTTTGATTTTTCCTAGCCCTGAATTTTAGGGGTTGTCATTTGAGCAGGCCTGAAATATTGTATGTTCTTGTTCTGGTCACCCTAAATTATCAGCCTTAACGGATTTCCAGCCTGAAACACAATCCTATCTGAATGGTCGAGGCGAGCTGGAGCAGTTGTGAGGGGCGTAACTTGTCCTTAGCCAAAATGTCGCAGGTGACGCAAGCTGGAGCACATGTGAGGGGCGTGATTGGTCCTTCGCCAAAATCACACGCGCAGTTTGACGTGAGATGTGTTGAGACTAGAAAGAATTAATAGAAGAAGGGAGAGCATGGGAGATATAGCGTTTGGGTTGTACCCACTAAGAACATACCCTATCTAGCTTATAACTTCTACATAACAATATATGTATAAGTTGACACACCCCCTAGGCTAGATAAGGGGTAGTGCTGAGCAAGAAACACGCAGCTCGGGGTGGCACTACTAGTCCAACCTCTGAGGCAGGGGCCCGAAGACCAGTCAGCAAGAGTACAAGCAAGGCTGAGCAAACAAGGGCGGCACTACTAGTCCAACCACTGGAGGAAAAGCCACAAGGCCACTCTGCAAGGCATAAATAGAAAGGAGTACACAATCAAGGGCCTAGGAAGTGAGAGTCAACAGGGACTACACCTAACTGCAAGCAGTGCCGCTGATGATCTCTAGGCGGAAGCGCCTTAGTAAAGATTTCAGCTGTGCTAGCACTGGAGGCCAAGTGTACTACGCGGGCCTAGCGACGCTACTGAAGCTCGCGTAGGAGGAAGTACCGCAGCTGGATGTGCTTCGTTCTGCCCTCAAGTCGAGGCTCTTGACATAGGAGAATCATGGCCCTGTTGTCAGCGTATAGAACCGGGGCAGAGCTAGGCTGCTCACCTAATTCGGCAAGCAAGAAGGTCAGCCAGTGGAGCTCCTGTGCCGCCATGGCACCGGCGTAGATCTCAGCCTCGTAGCTAGACTGAGCAACAGGCGAGGAGCGAGTGGACGTCCACGAGATGGCATCAAAACCAAGGCTGAAGCAGTAGCCCTGGGAAGACCGGAGTATCTCCGCGTTGTCTGCCCAAGAAGTGTATGTGTGCCCAGTAAGGACCACTGGCCTGCGTCCTCCCAGCACTAGCCCTATGCCCGATGTACTTGCAAGATAACGCAAAACCCTCTTAGCGGCCGACCCGTGCTGTGGTCGGTGTCTGCCCAGGGCCACAAAGCGGGCCAGGATGCTGAGAGGGTATGCGAGATATGGGGGAGTGCAAGTCATCAGGTACATGAGGCAACCCACCAGCTCTGCGTAAGGACCACTGGGCTCTGCTGACTCCTCGGGAACTGGAGCTGAGAGCCTGTGGTCTATCGACAGAGGTGTGGGCTGTGCGGAGGAGAACTGAAGACCGAACCTCTGAAGGACCTGGCGCACCAAGTGTCACTGTGTAAGAGTGATGGTGCGCGCTGCTCTGTCCCTGGAGATCTGTAGGCCAAGGTAGCGGCGCAGCTCTCCCAGGTCAATGCAGGTGTTTCGCCTCAGTAGCTCAGCCTTCACGGAGGCCAGCGCGTCTCTGTCTGCAGTAGCAAAGACCAGGTCATCTACGTAAACAAGGATGTAGAACGGATTCTGGCCAGCACGAATGAAGAGTGAAGGGTCAGCAGAGGACGGAAAGAACTGCAGGTCAGCTAGTGTGGCATGCAGCATGTCGTGCCACTCGTGGGGCACCTGTCGCAAGCCGTAGACGGGGAGCCGGAGAAGCCACTGGGTCCCAGGAGGGAAAGTACCGGTGAAGCCCTGAGGGCGGCGTAGGTACACCTGCTCGTGTTGGCTGCCCTGAAGGAAAGCAGTGGAGAAGTCAAAGAGGTGAAGCTCGTAGTCACGCTGTGCTGCTACGTGCAGCAGTGCCCGAAGAGTAGTCATCTTCGGGGTCGGGGCGAAGGTCTGAATGAAGTCCACCTCCTCTCGCTGACTGAAACCTCTAGCCACGTAGCGCGCCTTGAACAGATGCGGCTCTCCAGGGGGGCGCTTCACCTTGAAGAGCCACCGGCCATTGACTACGTTCACCCCAGGTGGGGGAACTGCGTCGACGTAGGTGTCGGTAGCCCTGCAAGATGCCATCTCTTGCTCCATGGCAGCTATCCACTGAGAGGCCCAGGGTCCCGAGGTCGCCTCAGCGTAGGTGCAAGGGTCGGGATGTCAAAGGCGTCGGGGTCACCCTCAGGGACTAGCAGCATGGAACAGAGATGGGGAGCAGCCTCTGACAGGAAAGCAAGCTTCTACTGCCAGTCTTCCAAGACGTCACTGCCGAGGGCAGGAGCACCCCCGATGGACGGAGGACAGACAGGGTCAAAGACCAGAGCGGTAGCGAAGTCAAGGCGGTGAGTAGAGGTAAAGTCAGCGACAGCAGCTACAAGAGCGTCAAGATTGGAGACAGGAACAGATGGGTCGGTAACGAGGGAGGCAAGGACCCGAGGAACAAGAGGACAAGCAGCACGAAGGTAGTCAGACAGAGGGGGAGGCGCAACAGTGAGCGGCGACTGAGGAGGCAAAGGCAAACGGGGAGGACGAGACGCATGGGAACGAAGCAACATAGGGTGAGAACGCTGAAAAGGAGAGACAGGACGAGCACGAGAGGGACGGCGAGACCAGACGTGAGACGGAGGCGTCGGGTCAGGAGACAGAGGAGGAGTAACAGGAGGGGAACGAGAGGGGAAAGGATCCGGGGACGAGTCCAGCGGAGGAAACACAGGACCGTGAACAGGAAGAGGGGGAGACGGCGAGGGAGGCACAGGCGAGCGGTCAGGGGAGGGAAGGCCGAGTGGGCGAAGGGCGGACACCGGCGGCGACTGCTGCTGCTGCTGCTCAACGCCGATACCTGGACCATCAGCTGCACCACTGCTACCTCCGGTACACTCCACGCCAGCACCCCCAGAACCAGAAACGTCTCCAGCGCCGGTGCCACCCCCGAGCCCGCCGGGACAAGCCACGACAGGAGCCCCAGGACTAGCACCCTCTCCAATTTTAGCACCCCCAGAGTCCACGAACGGCTGCGGCTGCGACGACGGCTGCGGCTGCGGCGGCGGTAACGGTGGCGACTGCGGCTGCTGCAACGGCTGCGGCTGCGGCGGCGACTGCGACGAGGGAGGAGGAGACACCGGGGGAGGGACAGCGGCGCAGACTGCGTCGCGGGGCCACCGGAGTTAGCCGACTCTTCGACCGGGACACTCGACGGGAGGGGAGTGACGTGAGACACACCAAACGGAGCAGGACGGGGAGGGAGGGGAGCAGGGGCGACCGGGGGAGTGGGAACCAAAAACAGGGGGGTGGAAATCGGGAGACCTCGGTGAGGAAAGTGGTGGAAAAAGGAGACAGACTAGTCGAAAGTGACGTCACGGGAGTGAAGGAAGCGGTGAGACGGCGGGTGGTAGAAGTGCCACTTAGACGAGTCAAGGGGGAACCCGAGGAAGACACAGGGGACGGTGCGGGCACTGAGCTTGTCCGTGCCGGAGTTACGAACGTGAGCGAGGCAGCCCTTGACATGGAACGCAGACGCGTCACTAGGGAACCCAGTCCAAAGAAGGGTCGGCGAAACCTGCGGCCGCTGAGAGCGAGGCCAGAGGTTAAGCTGGTGAGCGGCATAGCGAACGGCGAACGGCCACAGAAAATGGGGTGCACCAGCATGGATCATGGAGGTACGAGCCACCTCCATTACCAAACCGATGCGTCGCTCAGCGACCCCATTCTGCT